AAAAATACATTCTAGGGATTCCAGAAGTGTCACAGACTGCGAATAGGAATGTATCCGCATGCTAACGTATACACTTCCAAATGGTGTAGCACCACCACCCCATTTAGCCAGTCTTCTTTACCTCTACTGCTCTACCCATACACTTATGGCTTCAGACACTGGCCTTCTGTTTGTTCATAAATTTGGACTAACACTACTTGTAGCAGAGCTTTCAGCATCATGGATCCTACATTAAGGAACTACCTCTTCACCTCTGCTGTTCACTCTCCTCCTTCAGAGCTCAGCTTTCTCTTTTCTTCATGTTTTCATTCTCCTTCTTATTCCTCTTGATTGTCATGGTTCATTATTTGCTTTTTTAAATATCTTTTTTAGCAGTTAAATGTTGGTATCCTCCAGCTTCTGAGTGAGGTAAGAGCTTCTCTGCCTCAGCGTTTTTCTCCTTCCTGATTCATAGTTGGAGGCCACGCTGCAGCCTTCCGTTGGGCCACACACCCACTGCCCACACCCACTCAAAATAAGTGCTGATTCACGCTTACTGATCTTTACTTACTCAAAGTGTGCATAATACATGGAAATTCACCATCCACACTGCGCTTCAGACACCTCAGGAAGGGTCCACAAATTCCCTCTGGCGGTGAGGATGTGGAGTCAACCATGGTATTCTGAAATGAGATAATCTACGCTATTCTTAACCAGTGGAGAAAACTGGGAATATTGGGAAATACTGGGTTTAGCAGTGATTCCCGTCCTTCATTCTAGAGAACCCACTGACACATTCAAATGGTTAAGATGTAAACAGAGTCATTCAGAGTGGTTCGATGTGAAACTTTCTGTCCAAGAGAAACAGAGTCAGAATTGTTCACAGTGGTGGTGATAGAAACAAGACGTCCACCTCTAAAAGCTCCCTCACAGAAAGTTACTACATGAAATGGTTATGAATTCACTGCCTGATGACTGAGACACTGTTTATGATAGTTTTGAGAAGATTTTGGCCTTGAAATCCATTCATGGTGGAGGGATACATGCAGGGCGTCGTGAGGCAAAATAGTCCCCAAAAACATGTATTTTCAGGTTTAACAACATTTTCCCATCATCACCATTCCATATAAAAGCTCAGAAGACTCGTGTAGGTTCACTGGTGGTTTTGGATAGTAAATAAAATGGATATATTTGTGTTGTAGTCATGGCGACCCCTGGTTCCTATCACCACCACTGTAATTTGTATTGTTCCATTAGCAACAGCATGAACTGTTCAAACACATATTCCTATAAACTAAAAATACAAAAACTTACAGAATCAATATTCTCACTATTCCCCCCTTAACTCAAAGTTCACCCAAGATAGATTTGGTTTAGCACTGGAGCTGCGAGGCTGATGTAGTAATAGAAGCTACCCCACTAATTAGCATCATGGTAACTGCATGCCTAAATCATCACATACTTGCCCCAAATAATCTGTACTAGATCTATACCTAGACTTGTTTATGTTCTTATTCCTTGAAGCTAACCAATGAAATAAGCTCTTCACTTAGCTACTGGGTAGCTAAATTAACCTCACAGCTTCTGTAGAAAAACTAAATACAGTTTTATGAGTTGGAAAATTGGGAAACTATTCCTATGAAAAAGGAAAAGGCCTTGTTTTTTTGGTCAAAGGCCTGTTGCTGCCTGAAGACACATCCACCCTCTACATAAACAGATAAATGGATTTTCCATAATGGAGGATTCCCACTTACAGTATAAGATTTGATACTGTCCACTACCCGACACTATAATGAGTGTGGACCTGAGGATCTCTGCGTTTGCCCGTGTAAAAAAAAGGATTTTCCATAGACAATCCCTGCTGATACCATCAAGTTTGATGCTATCTGAAAACCTGTAGAATGGGTTTGGGGAGCTCCTTGCTCAAGGTCTCTCTGATACTGCTTATCTCACAACTAAACATTACACTCCTTCTCCCTCCTGCTTTCCTATCGTGTGATGCAACTGTAAGGTGCAAGATGCAAGAACTTTCTCAGGATAATAAAAAGCAGGAGGCCTACTCATTCACTGCAGTTGTTTATTTTAATTCCACCTATTTTTCAACCTTTCTGCGTAATTCAGAGTTTCTGTACAGGGGAGGTGATAGGAACCAGGGGTCACCATGTCGACAACACAGATATATCCGTTTTATTTACTATCCAAAACCACCAGTGAACCTACACGAGTCTTCTGAGTTTATTTGTGATGATGACGGGAAAATAGTGGGAAATCTGAAAAAATAACGTTTCTTTTGAGGGGTGTTACTCACAACATCCTGCATGTTCCTCTCCAGTATGAATGTATTAAAATTCCCTTTTAATAAACCAAAACTGGTTTGCATGACCAACGTTAAAAACAATAGGAGAGTCTGTGTAGTCAGCAGGATGTTGCCATCTGACTGTCATCCTGGTATTTTCCCTGTTAAACCTCTTCCTCTTTCAGACTGAGCGCTGGGCCTGCAGAGCTTCCTAGGCCTGGAAGGAAGCCTTGCTGAGTCTTGCATCATCGGCCTCATCTCACCCCAGAACCTCGCTGAGTGTTTTTCCCCTGCTGAAGGGGCTGACAGAGAGTTGAGGAATGTGAACTGCGCGTCTGCGAACTGCTGCCCCCTGGTGGCTGCAGTACATGCAGCCTGTCTAGCAGCCTGTGAGTGCGGTGCTTTGATTTGATTGAGTTTGCTGGCCTCTGCTGGCCAAATATAGCAACTACAAGTGCTTTAGTATGCTTTTGTGTGACTGTTAAAGAGGATTTTTCACATTATTCTTATATGTCCATAATAATTAGATCATTTAGATGTAAACAACATCATGCAGAGTGGTTTGGTGTGAAAAGCTGTGGAGAAGCTCTGTAAACTGTTCACAGTGGTGGTGATAGGAACCAGACGTCCACCTCTAAAAGCTCCCTCACAGAAAGTTATTATTATGAAATGGTAATGAATTCACTGCCTGATGTCTAAGACACTATTTTCCGACAAGGTTTTGGCCTCAAACTTATTTTTTAGAATACATTTAAAGTGGAGAGACAGGACAATGCAAAGCAAGGAAAACTTATTATTTCAGATTTTCCACTGTTTTCCATCATCAACATTCCATATAAACTCAGAAGACTCGTGTAGGTTCACTGGTGGTTCTGGAGAGTAAACAAAATGTCTATATCTGTGTTGTAGTCATGGCGACCCCTGGTTCCTATCACCACCACTGTAAAGGTCCGTGAGCTGTCAGGTGCATTTCACATCAAACCACTCTGAATATTGTGATACATATCGTGTATTGTAAAAATGTTTTGAAGTATCGTGACATTGCGATTTTTTGTATCACAACCTGCTGCATGAAGCAAGCCAGCTAACGATAGTTAGTGCAAAACCACTTTGTTAAAGTTGTTAAAGTCAGTGCACTAGATGGCGCTGTAGTTTATCTTTTTTATTGGGAGGGCATTTTTTTTTATTGAGAATAATAATCAATTCATAATTAATAAATGGATAAATATAATTAGAGACCATTTTTAGCAAACCAAAGTATGCATTGTTTCATCATTTTTATACATAAACATCATGCAGAATGCAGGAATCTCTGAGAACAAGTTCAAGCCTTACACCTTTAAGGGGAATTCCACTTTTCTAAATTTCTGTATAATTTAATGTTTAAGATGTAAACAGAGTCGTTCAGAGTGGTTTGGTGTGAAACGCTCTGTTCTAGAGAAACTTACAGAGTCAGAACTGTTCACAGTGGTGGTGATAGGAACCAGACGTCCACCTCTAAAAGCTCCCTCACAGAAAGATACTACATGAAATGGGATGAGGTTTAAGTCAAAAAGCAATAAGAAACATTAGGCCTGATAAAGTTAATATTTTGGTTAACACATAGATTTGATTCATGACTTCTCAATGCAGCTCCAGCCATAGCAAACATATGTACAGTGTTGTGCAAAAGTCTAAGGCTGCATTTACTACATAGGGAATACAAGGTGTTTGAGAGGGCTATCAATGGCCAAAAGTGTGCGGACACCTAACCATCACACCTATATGAGCTTGTTGGACGTCTCATTTCAAAACTGTGGGCGTTAATATAGAGTTGCCCCCTTTGCAGCTATAACAGCCTCCACTCTTCTAGGAAGCTTTCCAGAAGATTTTGGAGAGTGTCTGTGGGAATTTGTGCCTGTTCAGTCAGAAGAGCATTTGTGAGGTCAGACTCTGATGTTGGATGAGAGGATCTGGCTCACAGTTGACGTTCCAGTTCATCCCAAAGGTGTTGGATGGGTTTAAGGTCAGGGCTCTGTGTGGGCCACTGGAGTTCCTCCACACCAAACTCATCAAACCATGTCTTTATGGAGCTCAGATGCTGCAGTATTAACATTACCCTTCACTGGAACTAAGGGGCCCAAACCCTGAAAAACAGCCCCAGCCCATTATCCCTCCTCCACCTAACTTTACTGTTGGCACTATGCATTCCGGTAGGTAACGTTCTCCTGGCATCTGCCAAACCCAGATTCATCCATCAGACTGCCAGATAGTGAAGCGTGATTCATCACTCCACAGAATACGTTTTCACTGCTGAGTCCAGTGGCAGCGTGCTGTACAGCACACCTGCCGACACTTGGCATTGCACATAGTGGTCTTAGGCTTGTGTGCAGCAGTTCGGCTGTGAAAACCCATTTCATGAAGCTTCTGACTCACAGTTATTGTGCTGATTTCATTATTATTGTGCCACTTTCTGCTGCCAGTGCTTGTCTATGGAGACTGCATGGCTGTGTGCTTGATTTTATACAGCTGTTAGCAGTGGATGTGGTTGAAACACCTGGACTCAGTAAGGAGGTGTGTCCACATACTTTTGGCCATTTTACTTCATTCCTACGTAACACATATCAGTACAGTTACTCCCAGACGTGAATAAGCTGAAAGAGAAATGGTGTTGATGTATTATAACCGTGTGGAGACGAAGTGCCCTAGTTCACTACCTAGGGAACCTAGTGGTTCTGTTTGAGACGCGGCCGAAAAGTTAAAGGGGAACTTTTCCCGTTGAGTTTGGGAGGATTGTGTTCCCACCTCCTCCTCCAGCGGCAGGAAGAGGGATGTGATGTAAAAATCACACTGAACTCTTTTTTTCTTGGTTTCCAGATCTTAACGATGTGTTGTAACACGGCGAGGAGAGCTAAACTTTCCAGGACAATGAGTGCGGATCCGTAACCGGGCCACGTCTGGGTTAGAGGACGTTCCTGAAGCGCCTTGTGTGGAGAAACGACTCGGAATAGCAGGTAGGTTAGCTAACCCGTTAGCTCGGAAGGTAGAAAAGATGGGGATAACAGTTAATCCACTGTGTTTTTCCCACGAACAGACAAAAACGTTGACGTTTGTGGCCGTTTTGTTGTTGAGGCTGTGCGAAAACAATCTAGTCCGCTCGGCGGAGCTAGCTTAACGTGAAAGTTTACACTTCTTAAAAAAAAACAACTTTTTCTTCTCTTCTTTCAGTCGAAAAGACAAAGACAAACAGAACAGCCTCCTTAAGGCAGCACTGTTAACTTACTGTGAAAGAAACAAGTCCCTATTCTCCAGCCTCTTTTTCGAATTTTCCCGTTCCACCTTAAACGGTGCAACAGTTACATTCTGGCGCCTGAGGCGTTGTAGTAATAACTGCGGTACTTAAGGTGGAACGGGAAAATTCAAAAAATGGGCTGCATAGTAATAAGCAAACTTCAGCTTCCTCGGTAAATCTCGTCTAAAACGAGAGGTTTTTACAACCAGACTAATCATTTAGCAGCCGAGCGATTTATTCGTAGTTATAACGGTTCAAATAAGACAAATTCAAACAAACTTTATTTGTTTTTAAAGGCTTTTAAACTTGGCTTTTCGATGCTAGCTAGCTATGCTAGCTCAACGCTCTAACCGTTAACCGTTGACCTGACAGAAGCGATTCCTCCTCAGAGCTGCTGTGTGGTTAGCAGTGTGGCAGATCTGATCAATAAGCCGTGGTCATTACAGTGCACGTTGTAATAAATTACAAAGCACCATTAAATATGAGGGCATCGTTTGACGGGCCTGGTCTTACTTGTGAGTCTCTGAATCATTATTTGGGGATTTTTTGGGGCTTTCTGTGCTGTGTTTATAAAGGATGGTAAGGCCTGTGAACTCAAATTTATTTTTAATTTTCAAGGCCTCTACAGTTATGGTTGCACTCAGCAGTGAGTTACGGTAACACCTTTCAGTGTGTTACTATTACACCATGCAGTGAGTTACTGTTGCACCATGCAGCGAGTTACTGTTTACACCATGCAGTGTTACTGTTATACAGTGCAGTGAGTTACTGTTACACCACCCAGTGTTATTGTTAAACAGTGCAGTGAGTTGCTGTTACGCAATCCAGTGTTACTGTTACACAGTACAATGAGTTACTGTTACACCATCCAGTGTTACTGTTACACAGTGGAATGAGTTACACCATCCAGTGTTACTGTTACACCATCCAGTGTTACTGTTATGCCATCCAGTGTTACTGTTACATAGTGCAGAGTTACACCATCCAGTCTTACTGTTACACCATCCAGTGTTACTGTTACACAGTGCAGTGAGTTACTGTTACGCCATCCAGTGTTACTGTTACACAGTGCAATGAGTTACACCATCCAGTCTTACTGTTACACCATCCAGTGTTACTGTTACACAGTGCAGTGAGTTACTGTTACACCATGTAGATGGTAAGGCCTGTGAACTCAAATTTATTTTTAATTTACGAGGCCTCTACAGTTATGGTTGCGCTCAGCAGTGAGTTACGGTAACACCTTTCAGTGTGTTACTATTACACCATCCAGTCTTACTGTTACAGTGCAGTGAGTTTCTGTTACACCGTCCAGTGTTAGTTACACCGTGCAGTGAGTTACTGTTACACCATCCAGTGTTAGTGTTACACCATGCAGTGAGTTACTGTTACACTATCCAGTGTTAGTGTTACACCATGCAGTGAGTTACTGTTACACTATCCAGTGTTAGTGTTACACTATGCAGTGAGTTACTGTTACACTGTCCAGTGTTACTGTTGCACAGTGCAGTGAGTTACTTGACCACCTTGTAGTGTTATTGTTGCACCATGCGATGAGTTACCAGTACAGTTTTTGACAGATGCCTCGTTTTGTGACGCGCTGCCATTCCACCTCAGAATGGATGAGAAGAAACCTGAATGAAGAAAAGGAGGGATCTCTATGACCCTTCCACTTAACAATAAGGAGCGAAATAGCTAGAACACTGGAAGTTTAAGGCTAATATCATTTATTTTGTGTCCAAATCAAGAATTTTGATGAGGACATGTAGCTAGTAGCTAAGTAGCTGATACAAGTTGGCAGATGCAGCTGAGCTGCCCACCACCAGGGCTTTATAATGCTATTTTAACAATGTTATTTGGACTAGTGATGTTAAATGTGGGGATAAAACGTGACCCACTATACACTCTTTTAAATGTCCCAAACACTGGACAGTTCTGATAGGTCAGTGGTTTCAACCTTGTTGTGTGCTCTTGACGTTTCCAGTGTAGACATCCTAAAAGCTTTGTGATATGATACGATGATACTTTTGGGTGCTAGCTTGTGGTCAGTGAGTTACTGGAACACCATGCAGTGGTCCCGTAACTCACTGCATGGCATAACAGCAACACACTGCATTGCGTAAAGAATACTCAGTAACTAATTACATAGGCTAACTGCATATTTATAGCAAAATATAGTGTTTTAGTGTTACTGCTGCATTGTGCAGTGTGCCACTGTTACAACATGCAGTGTTACTGTTACAGCATGCTGTGAGTTGCTGTTACATCTTGCAGTTCTTACTGTTTCATGCAGTTTTACTGTTACATTGTGCAACATAGTAACTCAGTAACTACCTTCCTAACTTCGTAGTGTAACAGTAACTCACTGCGCGCTGTAACATGTTCTCAGTAACTTATAACAATGTATAACAAACTTAATTGACATAACTGTACAGTAGAGGCTATTGCATCATAGTAGTCTCACTTACTTTATGTCCAGAGTTTTGTTGACATTCTACTGAAATGAAGGGTGTTAGTTAGTCAGTTCCTACTCTTCTGGGAAGGCTTTACACTAGATGTTGAACATTGCTGTGAGGATTTGGTTGAGAATTAGTGAGGTCAGGTACTGATGTTGGATGGTCAGTTCTGGATCTCTAACTCATCCCAAAGGTGTTGGATGGAGTTCCATCACTCCAGAGAACACAGTTCCACTGCTCCACAGCCCAACGCTGGGGGGCTTTATACCCCTCTAGCCCACGCTTGGCATTGACGTGGTGACCTTAGGCTCATGTGCAGCTACTCCAGAGCGTCCCATTCCATTGGTCAGTGTAGCTGTCTGCCCAGGTGATACTGTTATAGGCCTTTGACGTATGAACACCGTCACCCTGAGCAGATGTGTTGGTCAGTAGCCTGTGCCTCGTAGTTTGCTCTGCACCATCTTTGACCTGGGTTAATGCCCACAGGGCAGAGGTCATGCAGAGCTGTGTGAAGTGCTCTCAGCTCAAAGGCATTCCTGCATGTGCAGGTGTTGAGGAGAACCGTAGAGTCATTATCTTTATGCTGAGGCCAAGAGGGTCCAGGTCAGGCAGACCCATCACTGCTCCAAGCTGCGTTTATCATTGGAGGCACAGCAATATTTTCTGAGCGCACATTTGCATCGCTATGGAAACACTTATTGCTGTGTTTTATGATGGTAACAATAAAAGATTATTTGAAGTGTGAAATAAACAAAATAAAACACAATCAACATAAAAACGTTCCATTCTGTTTGACGTTATTAAAGGAGGAAAAACATACAAATGGCTCAAATAGCTGCATTTTACCTTCATTAAAGGTGTAAAGGAGCGAAGTTCTGTATTTTAACATGCTGTTGTGTGTTTTTCGCAGTGGTCCGTGATGAAACGAGTGCCGTTGGATTTATGATATTGTTCTTGTGTGTCCCAGAAACAAGTGATCATGCTCTTGTAAACATGTCAGTGCTGCCATGTTTCTGGAAAGCTTCTGGTATTTTGTTCTCTGGTCATTATTAGTCACTGACAGCTATGAAAACCGAAAGCATTTGTTACTGGAAGTGTTTCAGGATGATTCTGGCGTTCCCCTCATGGTCAGCTGTAGCAGAACACAAATATTTGTTCTGGAGCTGTTTGTGAAGTTTTGGGAATATGTAGTCAAAAGCATAATTAAGCAACAGAACCTGAGAGGGAGTGTGTTATTGCAGAATGAGTTGGTGTGAGCTGAGGATGAGTACAGTGGATCTTCAGCCGTAATCGTAAACACAACCTTGAGTGTTTTATCGATTTTATTAAACAGTTCTGCAAAATAAAGAAAAGCGAAAGCAAAGAAGTCCCAAACATATTCTCAGATATGCTTTAATATCGGCAAAATGATAGTCTCAAAACTGTCTTAATATCAGGTTCAGCTCAGCTTTTTCAGTGTTTTCCAGATGAAGCCGAATGTGGTTCATCCCAGTTAGCGTCACGTTTCACAGCCCGTCTTGTTTACTAAGTTGTGTTCTGTTAATTTCTGGCTAATTCCAGTTTCTTTAGTTGTTCTGTAACAGGTTTGGAATTTGACGCAGGCCTTTGGTGCGGTCACTCTCTACGTCAAACAGATCTGACAGGAGGTCAGATATTGGCACAATCTCATTTCTTCTTTTTACACCTACCCCTTGTTTTCGAGTGTTGCCCCTTGGAACTGAGTTACAGGGTAGTGGTTGAAATCTTCCCTCTGAAATGGGACCCTCAAATAAAAAGAGCATCACTTCATTAACAGCTACCAGCGCTGCTCTGTAGGCAACCCTGCCAGTCTGCAGTGACAGCAGAGGAGGGTAAAGTTCAGCTCCTCACTGCTGGGCTTTAGTTACATTTAGGGATCATATGCCTTCAAAGAGGGGGGCAATTATTTATTAACACCCACCCCTAATTCTTCAGTGATGTGAAGCTGAAGTCAGATATTCACCAGCTTCCCGTTCCACCTTAAATGGAGCAGCAGTTACATTCTGGTGCTTCAGGCGTCAGAACTGCTGGACTGTTTAAGGTGGAACGGGAAATTTAGCTAGCTAGCTACCGAGACATTAGCATACTACTAGTGCTTTTTATGCTTTTTACAAAGAAAATGACCAAAAAACACTGAAACGACATTAAACTAAGATAATACAATGGTTATCGTCATTTTTTTAACAGAGAAAATTCTCACGTTTGTGTGTTTCTTTGGTCGCTTGTGCTCCATCTTACCGGTTTTTCT